GTGTGTATGTGTGTGTGTGTGTGTGTGGTGTGTGTGTGTACACAGTAAGTCAGGCACTCCCAGGATCAGGACTAGCACCCCTTCCCTGGTCATGGTGATGCCAGATGTGTTCATTTGCCTGCAGTGCCAGAGCACCCAGGTGAAGGCTGTGGCTGGGAAAGGTCATGCAGATGGCTTCTTCAGGAGGACAGGTGGTAGGGCAGGTAGGGCAGCCCCTCTTGAGTTTCCCCATCTGACTGTCTCCACTTTGCTTCTGTTCCAGCCAGTGTGAACGAAACCCTTGTCCCATGGACAGCAGGCCCTGTCGCCACCTACCCAAGACCATCTCCTTCCATTACCTCTCTCTGCCCTCCAACCTGAAGACACCCATCACACTCTTCCGAATGGCCACAGCCACAGCCCCTGGCCGGCCTGGGCCCAGCAGCCTGCGCTTTGGGATTGTGGGCGGGAACAGCCGTGGCCACTTTGTGATGCAGCGCTCAGACAGACAGACAGGGGAGCTGATCCTCGTCCAGACCCTGGAGGGCCCTCAGACTCTGGAGGTGGACGTAGACATGTCTGAATACCTGGAACGCTCCTTCCAGGCCAACCATGTGTCCAAAGTCACCATCTTTGTGTCCCTCTATGACTTCTAAGACTGTCATGGTGGTGGGCTATGGGGTATGAGATCTGGGCTGATCCCCACTCCCGACCCCCAGGACTCAACTGTGAGCCAGGGCTGTGACAGACATCTCTCCTCTCCATCCTACGCTCGCACACATTACCTGTCCCCCCAGGCTTCCAGGGGCAATGCTGTGCTCTGTCCCATGGGGCAGAAGAGAAGTTGTGGAACCAATGCTGTACCACCACCACTTTCGTTTTTCTGCTTTAAGGCCTTCTCCTCTCCCCCGCCCCCAGACAGGCAGCATTTTGAAATGTTGTGTGAATGCCATTGTGAGCTTGAACGAGCTGAGGAGGAGGAGGAGCTCATGTATGTCCAAAATGATAGACAACCACAGTCCTGTATTGTGTTAGTAAAGCTTGTTATGACTGAACAAGTTTCAACTCTGCTGAGGGTCCAGTGCCCCCTGTGAGACACCCAGTGTGATGTTTATATCTAAATTCATCTGTGTCACACAAGCCAGCCTCCTTATCAGAGAACCAGGGGAAGTTCTGTGAATCTGGTATGGATCCTTCTTGACTACAGAGCCGACATTAAAGTGTGGACTCTACCTGAGTTTCTTCTCTTTTGAGAAACCATAACTCAATAACATGGCCTGGTATTATAGCTGAAGAAATAAAGTCTGCTGCTCCTCTCTGCCCACCTGACTTCTCCCTGAGCACGAGAGTGCCTTCTAGGAGGGGATGGGAGAGCTGGCTTTCTGTCCAGGTTGGACACCATGGAACAAGGGAGTGAGAGATGCTTGGGATTACTTCACTAGTCTCAGTTGGGCACATGGGAGACTGGTAAGAACAACATCTGGTTCTGTTTAGGATACTCAAATTGTCTTTGATGCCATGACTTTCTTTTGAGGGACCAAGGGGTGATGCCCTCCAGATGACTGAAGCAGGAACTCTGTCCAGGGCTGAGAACCACATGGAGTCAGGGAGACCGTTCAAGTCAAAACTTAAAAATTACCTGGACTAGGGGGCTGGGAGATGGCTCAGCGGTTAAGAGCACTGACTGCTCTTTCAGAGGACCCAGGTTCGATTCCCAGCACCCACATGGTGGCTATAAACCATCCTTAACTCCAGTTCCAGGGGACTCCGAAGCCCTCTTCTGACCTCTGCAGCATTGCACAACACAGACGCCCTCACATCCATGCAGGCAATACACTCGTACACATAAAATAAAAATAATAAATAAAATATTTTAAAAAAATTACCTGGACTGCAAAGAGTTTCAGTGTCCAAATACATGTTAATCTACTAGCAAGATTACTTCACATACATTTCATTTTAAAATTTCTTGGGGTTGGAGAGATGGTTCAGCAGTTAAGAGCATAGTCTGTTCTGGCAGAGAATCCAGGTTCAGTTCTTAGCAGCCACATGTCTGCTAACAACCATCCATAACTCCAGTTCCAGGGGATCTGATGCCCTCTTCAGACCTCCATGGGAACTGCGTGCATGGGTACATTTACATATATGCAGGTAAAACACTCATACATATAAAATAAAAATAAATTTTAAAATTATTCATTGAAGCTGAGATAGGACTGAGTTTGAGGCCAGCCCAGACTACACAGTGAGACTATGTCTCAAACAGAAACAAAAAGAGGGCTAGGGATATCAGCTTAGTTGGTAGAGTGCTTGTTAGACACAAAGCCCTGGGTTCAGTCCCCAGCACTGCATAAAACTTGACATGGTGGTGCACGCCTGTAATCCCAACACTCAGAAGATCGAAGTAAAGGGATCAGAACTTGATCATCTTCAGCTACATAGCAAATTTAAGGCTAGCCTGGACTACACAAGACCTTGTCTTTAAAAATACCCAGTCCCGGGGCTGGGGAGATGGCTCAGCAGTTAAGAACACTGGTTGTTCTTGCAGAAGACCCGGGTTCAAATCCCAGCACCCACATGGCAACTAACAACTGTCCTTAATGCCAGTCCCAGGAGATCTGACAGCCTCTTCTGACCTCCATGGGCATTGCACGACATGGGTGCACTTACCTACATGCAGGCAATACATGAATATGCATAAAATAAATATAATAAATAAAAATTTAAAAAATACCCAGTCCCCTCCACTCCCTGCATAAATCTCTGTGTTTGTCTTAACATGAGCCAGAGCCAGAGGTAATACATCACTAGTTTAGTGATAAACCCCACATGAGGATGAGTCCCAGAAGGTTTATCCCTGTCTTCTTTTGAGACAGAGTGAGATGTAGCAAAGTCACTTCTGAAATTTTTCTCCAATGGCTTTAGCTGCAATCTAACAACTAGAACACAGGTCCAAAAGTTTACTTTTCTGGGGTTGCTACAAGACTTTATAAGACATTATTAACAGCCTTATGTTTCTAGATGGCAATATATGAGACCCAGGCAGCCCCACATGCAGAACACCAGGCTGGAGGGCTTGGTCATGCTCCTGGAAGTGTGATGTCACTGTGATGGGCTCTTCCTCCTGGGGTGGATGCACTTTAGGGGTACAAGTCTCTCACTTCTCATCAGGTAGGGAGTAGTTGAGGGGGGTGTCTACAGAGTAGATGCCTCTCCTGAACTGATGGTATATGGTGGTGACTGTAATACTAAACAGGCCCTATATTAAGAAGTACTTTTCTTCACCAAGATCTACTAACATCACACTTGTCTCCCATATAGGAAATCGGTCAGGCTTGGTCCCACAACACCAAAATATGAGTGTCTGACTGCTATAGACTTCCTTATGTGGATTATGACTGGGACATTCGCCCCTGGTTATTGTTTGCTTTTTATACTGTGTTGGTTAGCTTTCTGCCAGTATAACAAAACATATGTGACAATGGATTCAGAGGAGAAAGGGGTCATTTTGCTATATGATCCATTGACCCAGTTACTTTGGGGCTGTGAAGAAGCAGCATATCATGACAGCAACAGGAAACGAGGCAGAGCCTGTTCACCTTGTAGTGGGGAATAAAGACAACGGAAGAAGACCTTGTCCCACAATCTATTTCAAGAGAAAGCCCTCAAGGACCTAAGAGCCCCCATTAGACCCTACTACTCCTTAGTACTTCCAAACTGGGGGACAAGTCTTTATCACATGGGATTTTGAGACATGCCAGATCTAAACTGCAGCAGTTCTCTTTCTTCACTTTCCCCTATTAGAAACCCACTTCTGAGACTTCTTAGGGCTCCAGTCTGTGTTAAGTCAGTGCAATTGGTTGTTAACAAGTATTAGTTGACACCCCCTTCCAGGTAATGTGGATTCAAGATTCAGCCATAAAAACTAGAACAGCACACAATATCCCATGTTTGATCATCAGCTCCAACCATCAGCACCTGCCAATCATTTCATCTACTCCCATCCCACCTCAGGATGACTGAAGTAGATCCTTGAAGTGAGACATCATCTCATCTGTAAATATTTGATCATGTGTTTCTAAAAGATAAAGACTTTTTTAAGTATGACCTTAGCATCACTCATATATAGAAATTTAACCATGATTCCTCAGTAGCTTCAAGCCTACAGTCATTGTTTAAGTTTCTCTGAGTGACTTGTTTGTTTGCTTCTTTGTTTGAATGAGGTCCATGAAACATAATTTATAAGTTTAAGTCTCCTCACCCCCTCTCATTTTAAAAAATATTTTATTTATTATTTTTATTTTATGTGTATGAGTGTACTGCCTGCATGTATGTGAGTGCACCCATGTCATGCAATGCCAAGGAGGTCAGAAGAGGGCTTCGGATTCCCCTGGAACTGGAGTTAAGGACAGTTCATAGCCGCCATGTGGGTGCTGGGAATCGAACTGGGTCCTCTGTAAGAGCAGTCAGTGCTCTTAACCGCTGGGCCATCTCTCCAGCCCATCTCTCCTCGTTTTTTTAAAACAAGGTCTCACTATGGCCTGAAATTCACTGTGTAGACCAGGCTAGCCTTGAACTCACAGAGATCTGCCTGCCTCTGCTTGCAAAGTTCTGGGCATAAAGGCACTATCACACCCAGCTTTAAGCCCCCTTTAGTATGTAGCAGGAGTTTCCACACTTTTGTATATATTGGATGACCTACAGGCTTGTCAGAGGGTAGAATAGTGAACTATTTATTATGTAGAATGTCTCAGAGTCTGGGTTTTCTTGGACACATTTCTATGTCTCTGCCTTCACTACTTCATGTGCATCTGTTGTTCTATCCAGGTACTTGGTAAGATTCAGGTTTGCTTTGTTTATTTATTTACATTCTTCTTTTATGTGTATTTATTTTTGCCTGTCTGCATGTGTATGTGCATGTAATGCCTGCAGAGGGTGTCAGATCCCCTGAAACTAGAGTTACAAATGGTTGTTAGAGCCATGTGTGGTGGTGCATACCTTTAGTCCCAGCACTGGAAGGCAGAGGCAGGCAGATCTCTGTGAGTTCAAGGCCAGCTTGGTCTACATAGGGAGTTCCAGGTCAGATGGGGGCTACAGGGATACCCTGTCTCAAAAAGACAAACAACAACAACAAAAAACAAACAAACAAACAAATGGTTATTAGCTGCCATGTGGGTGCTAGGAACCAAATCTAGGTCCTCTGTAAGAGCAACTAGTGCTCTTAACTGCTGGGCCATCTTCTCCAGCACCAGATTAGTTTCATTTTGGTAGTGACAGGCATTTCTAGTGGGGCGTGGGCACATAATATCTTTTTAAAAATAATTTAAATTTAAAATTAGTAGTAGTAGTAGTTTGTGTGTGTGTGTGTGTGTGTGTGTGTGTGTGTGTGTTTGGCATATGTGTGAATCCAGGTGAGCAACTTTGGTGCACGTGTTGGGGTCAGAGGAAAACTTTTGGGAGGGAGTTGGTTCTCTACTTTCACTGTGGGTACCAGAGTTAGAACTCAGATCATCAGGCTTGCTCAGCAAACGCCTTAACTGCTGAGCCACCTCTCCATCCTATATCTGTTTTTCTGATGTTGTCAGCCACCTGTGATTAATACATTACTTCTTCAGGGGTAATGATTACTATTCTGGTGCTATTGTTTCTCTTCATTTATTAGCTGACCTACTTCATAATGATAAACTTCCTGTGGGATGGAGAGATGGCTCAGTGGTTAAGAGCACTGGCTGCTCTTGCAGAGGACCCAAGTTTGTTCCTCATCTCTCACATGGCAGCTAATGAGCATCCTTAACACCAATTCCAGGAGATCCAGTGCCCTCTTCTGCCCTCAGGCATTGCATTTACATAGTACACTTACATATATGCAGATAAAACACACATATACATAAAATTAAAATTAAAATAAATAATTTTAAAGTTATTAAAAAAAAGAGAAACTTCCTTTCACCAGTTACTCACTTACCCTGAGATTTTTGCCTATATAAGAAAGGCCAGAAAAATTGTTGGACACCCACCCCCACATACACACCTTAGTTTCTCATTTGGCACCTAAAGTAACCAGTGAGTTGTTTCATCTTTAAGTGCATTATGAACTCATTGTTGAAGTTTGATGCCTGTTCTCACTCATTGCAATTGTTCCCATTGCTGCTCAGATTGTCCTGTCTGGGCCTCTCTCATCTGCTTCTGGCCGGCTGGCTCCTTTTGACGTGGCTTTTTCCATCTTGGAAGGTTTTCTAGTTATGTGGTATGAAAAGATGTTTCAAGCTCATCTTGTATATTTTTCTGCCATTAATGGTGATTAGGAAGCAGGAGCTGGGTGGAAGGAA